GAGAGAGAGAGAGAATGGGAGAGAGGAGGAAAGGGAGAATTGCTACTTTTAGGCAATATTATCTTCGTTCATAAGAAAGTGAAACAGTTGAGAAACGAATGTGCTTCACAAACGTTACATAATCTCTGAACAATCAATTAATCAACGTTTAATTAGCTTTGATAAATTGAACTCAATGTTAGTGGGATATTTTTAAATTTATTAAATTTATTAAATTTATTAAAATATCAAAATTGTTTATTATATTTTTAATTAAATTATAAATCAACTTTATGTTTTCCAAAGGATATTAACATTTGATAATACAGCAATCGTTAAATCGCGTCTACTATGTTAGGTTAACAAAAATATAATGTTTGATATAAAATATATATGTAGGTTATTTATAGAACACCGATTAGAAATTAGTGTTTATTAATGAGCAGAATGTGATGCGATAGAAAAAGTTGTGGTTATGACTTCAAGATGTTCAAGATAATCTAACATTCGAATTTAGTCTGACACGTGAATCTGCTTTGAAAAAAATCATCCTCGTGCGTGCCGTGTCGAAGAAATAACCCGATACAACGAATTTGGCATTTTGCCGGATAAATGTATATCGTAGACCATAGACGGATGTTTCTTTCTTTATCGTCAATCAGCGTTCGATGCTATCGATCATTCCGTCATTTTCTTGCCATCCATACGGTCACGTGATCAACATAATATTCATTTCAATTTCAGGCACATACGATCGCATTAACGCTTCGGGGTTCTCCAGAATGAATATTACTCTACGACACTGTGAAAATTGAAAAAAATTTGTTTGAACTCCGGTTCACCTGTGGCACAATCATTTAAGAATTATCAAAGATTTCAGCTGATAAAATAAATTATCACTTGATTTAAATCAATCGCGGCACATGTTGTTTGACTAACGTGACTTGAAACAACCTCTATGTCGTTAAATATTCCGAGAAATCTCCTTAAATATCTATTTCTCATCCTTTTGATATCGATAGTCTTGACATTTGACTATAAAACTACGCGCTCTCTTCTTACTGTTTGTTGCTGACGGCGAATGACACAGTAGTTACCACGAGCGCGATCCACGATCAACTACCACCGCTGCAGAAAAGAACGAGTGAGTGAGTCGGAGAGAGATAGGGAAGAGAGAGAGAGAGAGAGAGAGAGAGAGAGAGAGAGAGTGTGTGTGTGTGTGAGTAGTACGG